CGCCATGGAAGCGCGGAACGCGACCATCATGTCTCGGATGCTTTCCAGATTACTATCTGGCTGGGTCGCCAGAGAAATATGTCAGTGATTTGTGGGAAACAGGGATTCGTGGCGGTGTTCAAACCATTGCTGCTAATGTCAATGATGACGGATATAAAACTTCTGCCGCCTTTTGTAAATAGGAGACAAAAAGAAGATGGCTGCCGAAGTACTCGATAAGGATCGCAAAGTTGTTCTTTTTTAGAGAAGAGGTCCAGAGACTGGATACATAACGAATTCATAACTTTCAATGAAAATTATATTTATGTCACCGAAAAAAAGGTTCCATTCTTCAACGTTGTTGTTGTGCCTTTATTTCAACGTAGAAAAACTCACATTCGGCCTTAGCACTTGGTGAAAAAATAGTCTTAGAGTTTCAAACAAATCTAGCAAAGTACGGCAATCTTTTCTTTGCATGATCATTCAGGAGTACACGCTGTATATAACAGATAGCAAACGGCAGCGGGAAGAATTCACCCCGAGGGCTGGAAGGATGGCGGTGATCAGGCCGACAAGTGCGCACCTAATTTAGATGTCTGCAGGATGTAGCGAAGGTCCCAAAGTATGCGAGAATGTATCATTGCAACATTGTGCGTTGGTGCGTTCATCTGGAATACCACTTATATTGAATAAGCCAACAATAGCCGCAGGAGAGATCGCGGGGCATAATTTGGGACACTTTCTTCACTTCAAAGCCTCTTCAAAGCCTTCTGTTTTTGTTTTTAAATACTGGGTGTGAGTTTTGTACAGAGTAGTTATTCATACATATATCATGGCTTCCACTGCCTCAAGCTATTGTCACTTTCTGACGAAGAAGTCGAAGAACTGTCCGATCGAGTTAACAAGATAGGAAATGTTTCGCTATTTCTCCCGTGCCCCCAAAAGTGTTAAGGTTCTAACCTCACACATGTAAATCTTGATAGTTGCAATGCGTCGTATATAGCATCACGTTATTTGCATAATTTGCGCTATGTAATTAAAATTCTTGTGCAACAAGTTTATATTTATCGACATTTCAGGGATATATAAAACGATGAAAAAGATGTTCTGACTTGGTTTGAAAATTTTGCCTTACTGTGTGGATTAGTCAGATTTCTAGCGTAGCCCAGGATTATTACAAGATATTACAAGTCCCCCAAAACATACTGAAGTATCTATAAGCCTATGGTACACCGCTGTTTTACCCCCATTGTTGATCTTGTCGTGGCCTGCACACATTCTGCTTACTCCCACCAGGATCGTGTTTTGTTTGCAAGTCCAAAAATCCGCGTGAGTTTACAGAGACATGCAATGGCGCATGGCCGCCGCTTTGTAAAACGGAAGCGGGCGACTTAACCTGTACCTTGCCCAACGGTTCGGCCCGATTTAATTTCAAGGGTCTCGCCGCGACCCCTGCCGCCTCTCGGTCCCGTGCCGCACGACTCCGTTGCGCTCTTTTGAAACTGAACAGAATGTGACTGAAACTGTAACTGTGTAACTAGTCGTAACTCTAGGAGACCTCAAACGACACGCCACCTCCTGAAGATGTAAGCAGAAGCTGCTCTTTTATTTATTTCTTCCGCCCTGTAGTTTTTAAAAGGATCGCACCTTGTGAACGGCAATAGAATATGCGAGTTGACAAGAATCGTAACACCAGGTCATATACCACATTAAGGCTGCCCCGTCCCTTTCCCATGACCACCCACCCCTTGAAGTCTAGGGGGACGCGGTGGGGCACCTTCTTTCCCAAGGGACCAGGAAAGTAAGTAAAATAAGTAATCAAGAAAGCACTTTTGCATGCAAATTCCTTGCATGTATTTTTACGAAAGTGTATCGAACACATCAAGCATTTAGTTATCGATATTTTCACAATAAAACGACCAACATTTCAACTATTCACATGCTTGTCAGTTTCTCATTAAGCGGAAAAAGTTTTTTCCGCAACTTTAACATCTTCGATACTGCTACTAGTATCTTTTTATGTTTCCGAAATTCTTGTATTAAAAACACTTTTTCTATTCCAACATTTATTACAAGACATGGCGACGGCACTCAAGTTAAAACAGTGCGTCTTGTATCACTCTCAGTGCAGTTCAGAACAGAAGTATACACCGAGGAAGTTGTCATAAGTACATGATGTAGGTGGTAAGCCACCCATCACGAGGTGCAGGTGTCTGGTGCGTCCCAGGTATGTCACCTGTGTACGGTCCTCGTTAACTCGGGTCAGCGGGTTAAGTCCACTGTTGTCACGTCCATTATCCAGGCGAGCAAGGTCCACAAATCAATTATCTTTATTGCACCACACTTCTTTGTAGAAAATGTGTCACATATGGAGCCTATATTAAGCAACCATGCCTTGATAGGATGAAGTTATTTATCACATAAAGAAAGTAGGATTGACATGTAATCACTGTGTGGATGGGGGACAACACGCAAAAACATGGATCTGTGAGGGGTTTCTTTTCTGGGACAGATTGGATTTCCATGCTGAACATGGGTAATCCTTCAAAGACGCTAGGGAGATGGCGGGAGCGCTCTGACATAACAACTGAAGACAGTAACGGAGCACCCGGAGTGTCGTGTAGACAGTGGCTGTATCCACGAACATAAGTTCTTGTTGGGGGAGGGCGTGGTTACAGCCGAATAGCAACAGTTCTTTCAGCGGCTGACGCAGCCTGGCCAATCTGTTTATAAACATGGCTCAGCGCGGTCCCTACATTCTGTAAGCACACAAAGGTCAGGTCGACAATTGATTTCTAATCCTCGCTTTCCCAATCCGCTTCATTCACTGTCCCGTGGAAGATCGTGTTGCCGACCGAATCCCAAAGAAAAACAGGATTGTAGCTGACCCCGCCGGACCCTTCGCTTTTAATCGGCGGGCGATCGAACTCCCCCGGGATTATCTTCGGGGGACTGACACGGAACCTGGTCGCGCTGGGGAGGGGATATCCGACACCGGGGCACAGGTGAATGTCGCCCCACCGCTTTACAAACCGTAGACAATACACAAACAGATACCGTAAAGTCATACCCTGGAGTTTTCCTCCTTGTATGCGTATTTGTAGCATAAATACCTCCGGCTTGTTTATCTTGTAGTACTAGATGGACTGTACGCCCTTCTGCTTTAATGGGTGACTCCTGGAGGCGGCTGTGTCTTGTATGACACAGTAAGCACACCGAAGACCAAAACCGATCCGCTTGTACCGCCATTGTTCTGCACTAATGTACACCACTGTTTATTGTACTGTGAGTTGTGTGCGGGGAGGCGGTGGGACACAGAGTGGGTGTAACGGGAGCGGAGTTTTGCCAACCCCACGGGGACCCCGTGTTACCCGAGCGGAAAGTATCAGTGTTTGGGCCGTGTTTTGTAACAAGTTTGGTACCCCCTCGAAGTGGGATCGTGCCTTTCAAGACATTCAAAGTCCTCCTAAGAGCACGACATTGTAAGGAGATGCGCTAAAAATAGTGGGTCAAAATCGCCTCGTATTGTTCATAGGCGTAAACATAGACTTGTACTCTTGGTTGTCACTCTGCTCCTACAAGCCTGATGCATACGATTACTTCAAAAACAGTGCTATTGTCCTTCGTCTCCACAGCACATCCATTGACAGCAGCTACTGGAAAAAAGGATGGCTCGCAGAAAAAAGGTCATGAAAATCTTTACATGTCGCAGTGACAGGCCGACAGCGTGTTGACAAAAGGCGGCCGTGCCAGGCTACACCAAACCGAATTTGCCCGTGAGCCCGCGACATATTAATCGGCAGTAATCGATCGCAATTACATCTCGCCGTGCGTACGATGTGTATCGTTATTTCCGCGGTGCATATTAATCATATTCTCCGCGATTGGCTTCTGCGAGATTGAGAGAAGCGCGGCAGGAGGTGAAACCTCGAGCTCGAGGGGAGATTTTTTTTGGTCAAACCACTTTACAGCCATGCATCAAAACTCATCGCGTTACGCTGGCTAACAAAAACTGGACTAATTTCATTTATCCAAGGAGCTTAACCTCCTTGATTTATCTGACATTTCCTCAAGCAAATGCGGCCATTTTTTTTATGTGTACATAAGAGAGAAGGGGTGCTGAGCGACACATCTGATCTGATATTTCCCCCAGCTACAAAGGCAGTGGGGTCGTTTATAGTTTGATACGGGATGAACCTCCAAAGACAGGAGATGAACCCTCTTCGCTGCTGTCAAGACCTGCCGTCAGATTGCCCCTGGGATAAGCCTGTGATTGATCATGGCTGCCATTTCTGCAAATGGATCTAGTTAACTACAACAAAAAGTGTTAATTAGATTTACAAGAAAGCTTCTTTTGGACACACGCATTTGTTTTGTTTGCGCCAATTTGTATGTATCAAGGGGGCGCGGACAACAAAATGTTATGACTTCACACGTAGTTGAGAAGGTGTCAAGTCATAATGAGGGGGGTAATTTTGGTACTGTTTAATGGAGAAAGATAAACTGACGCGTCGGTTAATTTGTTCACACCTTGTCGACAACGCCTTGTACGGAGTTCAGCGGCGGAGTGTGGGACAACAAATGCGCTAAAATTTAGTTTCAAGCCGTTATTTTCCAACAGGCTGCAAATCAACAAAACGTGCCCCACAGCTCCTTGTCGTGTGGCTACAGTAAACAGGACACTTATTGGTCAACACAAGCCACGCACTCTGCGCAAATGTCCCAGTAGTGGCCAATCCGAGCCCTCCAACCCTAGGGACTAAACTTGTAGCAGACAATTGCGCACTGCCGTCTGGCGGGAGACCTGGTACTGCAACGCTCTGCCACCTTCCCATCGAATCGTTCTGTATTGTAGTGGAGGGCCAGCGAAGTGTGGTTGGAGTTTAAAAGCCAAGCACTACTCTATCCTACCTTCTCAACAGTAAGACTCTTGGATTATCTGAGGCGTCTGCCTGATCCAGGAAGACAATGCCAATCAGTAGAAGTGGTCCCACACCCACCGAGGCGGGGCCTCATTGTCCCCGTCGTCTGTTCCCTGCTTGTCATGCACAATAAATGAATGTTAACAACTCATCGCCTGCCAGTCATTTTGGCGCGTCCGCCAATGTTTTGGGTTGTACATAAATTAATACGATTGGCGAAGTTAAGCGGAACTGTCGTGTCAGACCCTTGTCCTCGTGACGTAAGGCATGTCGACACCACAGGGAGACAGGCCACTGTTGTGAGAGGGTCGGAGGCCGTGTACCCCTACTAGTTAACTCCCCCCATCCCCATAGTCGTCTGGCCGTGTTCTTGGGACCCAAGATGCCCCTGTGTAGTGCGGCGTGAGGAGCACCGACAGCGATCGTTTACATTGTAAATCAACACCGGCGCGCTGCGCGTATTTTGCAGCCTTCTCGAGTTGATAGGCATCAGTTCGACTTATCTCGCCGTGAGGTATAGACCGTACACCGAGGGCTCGCTCATAATCGGCCTACCTCACGAGAACCACAACTCTTGGAAGCCAAGCCGGTGACACGTTCAAGTGCCGCTGGTTAGGGAATTCTACTCTGGAGAGTGTTGAGTGTGAGGAAACATGTCCAGCATGTCCTATGCACAGTTCGGGTACACATACCCGTCGTCTTCTCCGGTAAGTGGTGCCCGGTAGTCGTCACTGAGTCACTTTCTAGTAGCACAGCAGTTTAATCGGTGATCTTACCCATTTGCCCTCCCCCATCGACCCCTGCAAGCTCGTACCTATAAGACCACCTCCTCATTTCGATTTTTGCTGCTCATTTGCATCGCCTGACCCGAGGAAGCCGGGCCCGACTCACTCTTTGTTGTGTTCTCTCTCCACGGCAGTTGCTCATGTCCAGCCACGCCGCGTCGTGCTGCGAGGCCGGGCGGCCCATCATGTCGGACCCGCACACCGGCCAGGCCGTGTGCTCCTGTCAGTACGAGGGCAGGGTGGCCGGGCTGGTGCCGCCACGGGTCGGTGAGATGTCCCTCAGCAGCGTGTACGGCTCGCCGTACGCCGGACAGGGCTACATCGCTGCTTTCGGGGCCGACCCTTCCGCATTCTACTCTCCCTTGGTAAGTAAAAACTGTTGACTTCCCCATGGGTGGATTTCTGTCACATGCGAATGTTGTATGGCTTCCTATTGACTTTGTATGGCTCCGTTTACTTCATGTGGCGGACGCCGTTAATCATCATGTGCTCGGCACCCGTGTTCCTAATGTTGTGTTTGACCGTTGTGTGCAGGGGAATCCGTTCGAGGCCATGAAGGAAGGTGCCGAGGCCTGGAGAGCGAATCTTCAGCAGCCCACCGCCTACTACCCGTACGACCCGACTCTCGCTGGCGGTGCTCCCTACCCATACGGCAGGTATGCTACTGAACCTTTTACACTCTTCTGTCCCAAGCAACATGGCACACTATTGGGTTTCCTTATGTCCTTTGAACCCTAAACTCAAGACACACTAGTGAATATTTTGGATTAATTAAAACTGGTTTGTTTTATGTTGCTTCAGCTATGCCGCTATGGACGGCGCGCGGAGAAAAAACGCCACCAGAGAGACCACGGCAACACTGAAGGCCTGGCTCATGGAACACAGGAAGAACCCGTACCCCACCAAGGGCGAGAAGATCATGCTCGCAATCATCACCAAAATGACTCTAACTCAGGTGTCCACATGGTTCGCGAACGCCAGGAGGAGACTCAAGAAGGAGAACAAAATGACCTGGTCGCCGAGGAATAGAAGCGGGGACTCAGAGGGCGGCGAGGGGAGCGACATTGAAGGGGACGAGGACGCCGAGAGAGAGGGTCGCGACGGGGACAGGCACGGCAGCGACAAAGGTGGGTCACGGTTGGAAGTGTTAGGCAGCCCGGTGTTTGTGTTCCTTAACGTTTACTGAAGTTTAAACACGGTGTGCCAAGATTGGAACCAAATCGGTTCGCATCATTTGTGACCCAGCTGTGAGCAAAGGCTCCAGTGGCGGTAAATATTTTATGTGGATCGACCTTTTTGTGATTAACCTGTGTCTGGTATGTTTACTACTATTAATAATATGGTTTTCGCTTGTGGTCCCCACAGATGTAGAGGACGTGGATTTGGACGATATTGATGTCGACGACGACAAAGTATTTGAAGATTCCACAAACCCGGGCGAGGAAAGCAAGGACAATGACTATGAGCACAAAACTGGTTCCAGTTCGGACATTTCCCCACCGCACCGCCTCACAATTCCATCGGAGTCTACCGAAGACAACACTCGTGAAATACAGAGACAGCGGGAAACACAAGCGTCCAGCCCGTCCACGAACTCACCACCTCCAGTGGCCACCAAGCCCAAAATTTGGTCGCTCGCAGACACGGCGACCAGCAGCGGCCCGACGACGCGCCCGGACGCACCCAGAACGGTCGTGACCACCGGACTATCACATAGCCTGTTCTCCCGGCATAGACCGTACGACAGGCCGTATGACTCTGTAGCCAACTTTCGGCAGTGGGTTAGCGGACTGAATGGATTTTCCCAGCCGCTGCGGATGCAACCGCCTTCCACTGTGACTCTATCGGGAATGTACTCTGCCGGATCTTTGATTCGGAGCTCGCCGGCGGGAACGTCTCCTCTCTCCAAACCGGATCACACAGGAGCGCCCAGACCGTCCTCACCAACAGCCGAAAAAGGTGAGCACAACCTCCTTTCAAAAACTAGAAACTCGTCGCATAGCTGTGTTGCGTGAGTGTGTCGTTGAAAAATAATGGTTTGAAGCTATCGCAGCTCTCCCAAACTTAGGTTGGTGAAAAATTGGTGTCATTAAATCACAGCGAAACGTCCTTATATTTCTGTCTAGTTGAATGAAATCCTATATCCTAGCACAGGGATGATAGTATGCAGAACTCGCTGCCTCAAGCTAGGCTTCTTTCATTTTCTTCGGAATGCGTCCGTTCTAGTTTGATGGTACAAAGATGTGGCTTTGTAGAGACTTAGTTAACATGCCTACCTGTCAAACTGCCGAGACAACGGCCGTAAATTTGTCATCATTTACAACCCTTGTGGGCTGATAATAAGTCTTCTGTACATGTTAAACGTTGTAAATTCACACTTCTCGCTTTCGCTTCTTGCAGTAGAACCTGTCAGGATAGGATCCGCACAGCAATCTTCCGAACCAGAGCTGGTCAGGACAGCCTTCAGACCGGTACAAAAGAGGTAAGAGTGAGGTAAATTACCCCTTTTCTTGCCTCTCTAGCTGTTGTTCGCACTGTGATCTGTGTCTGTCTTTTTCGTTGTCTGTGCTCACCCGGTCACTGCAAATCATTCTTTTCACGAGAAATTCTTTCTTTCTGTTCTTCGGCCTTATTATATCTACCACCTTGCCCTGGATATTGAATAAGGTTTCCAAAGAACAGTAAAATTAAACGACAGGAGGGTTTATGTGAGACAATTGTTTGTTAACCTGTAGGGGAACGCCATATGGTGGCTTTCCCGTGTGGAAAATTATGCCGGTATTTTCAGGATCTAAAGGCGTAATTTTTATCTCATCAGATGCATCCCCGTCCAATCTCAGCCCCGTGAGCTTGACGCCGCTGTAGCGCTGACCAGCCTATCGTCCAGATAGCCGCCCGCCTGCGGGCCCATCCACCCACCGACCCGCCAACCTTTCCCGCACCATCCGGTCTCACCAGGCATGTGCCCCACCTCAATAGCACACACCAGCTTACAAACTTATGAGTATTGTAAAAGCACAGCCTGTGTTTATTTGAAATGTTTTCTTGCTGATTGGCATTCGCATAGAATGTTACATTCCATGAATGTTTATTTAAATGTATTACCGTGGAAGAGAATTTGTGTGGTTTGTCGCCTGACAGAGCTTCCAGCGACTGGAAAAATGTATTTGTTCGTGTAACATGATATAATAATAGGAATCCTCAGTTGATGCTGCAGTATAATCTAATGAAATGTGTTCATTTGACTAAATGGTGATCAATGCACTGAGATGGAAAGAAGGAGATTTACCTCTCTTTTGTCCGAAGGAATATAGGAACTATTGCTCCAAATTCAGGGACGTTTTGTTGAATACAATCTGTCATATTTTTGTTCGGACGTTAAACCGACACTTTCCAGTGTTATCAACAAAGCGATCATGTATAGGTAAATGGTTACATAGGTCACGCGTTATTCTATTGTGTCTTAAAAATCGGCGATATCTTATAACTGGTGCAAGTATCAGTATTTAATGTACTGGGCAGTGTCTTACAAATGTTGGCCATGCCGTGGACGCTTGTATGATTTTGTATGGAGTTCTGTCTGCAGTTAAAACTGTCTATCAACCGTGACTGCGCGGTTTTTACAAGTGAGCCCCACATACGTACATGTTTGGAGAATCATCGACCAAAAAGCCATTTTCTGTCGATTTATAAGATTGTATTGTGTTCAAAAGTATTTATCACTGAGATTTAATTTTTTGTGTTTGAGGTGTGTTTGCTTTTTAGCTTTGTTTGTTTCCGTCCTTCACATCAATATATTCTATGGTTTGTTAGGGAAAAGACTCACCAGTTGCCAATGAATACATTACGTTGTGTGAAATGTACATTACCGTGTGTGCAGACTGTAGAAAGCAAAGCATTGTGATTTATACACTAAAACAGGTGTTTCTATGTAACGTATCCTACCATTTTCTATTGTACTGCTGCGTTGTATATAAATTCCAACATAAATAAATGTATACGTTACATGTAACCGAGAGAGGCGTGTTTTGTTGTGCGATGTTGCGGGGAAGGTTTTGTGTAGTGTAGGTCTAGTCAGGTGCGTGTCAGATAATCTGTTGGTACAATGGGCGGGGGAGAACTCAATACTTTGTAACCTCCCACATAGATCTTAATGATGAGGTGCATTTTCCCTCCTTAGCTAGACTTGGCCTTGAAGCTGCATGGCTCAAGTTAGCGAACCTCCCCTTTCGTTAGTAGTTCTCTGGGCTATTCTTACTACTCTACAATTTCTTCTCTCAATACTTCCCTCACAAAATTGAGCCCGACAGTTCTCTGCACATTTTCCCCTTCATTCCTACAATTTCTTCCCGACCTTGGTCCTTGGCCACCCGAAGTGTCAGAATAATAGAGACGTGTTTGTAGTCACAACAGTTCCGTTGGTTCGGCGCAGTTCTGGGGAGACTTTCCCGTGTTGATCCTTCGCCACTGAGCGGTAATGAGGCGGGGTTCCACCAGAGACCTCTTTATTTCAACGGTATTCACGGATAAAGGACGACTCCAATGTTTTGTAAACACCCACTAAAACCGCTGCAATGATACCCTATTTAATTCTTCAGGTAAAGGGAACCTATGAATCATCGTCAGGAAAAAACAACAATTGGGATTCTACACTTCATTTGGCAAGTCACGTCGGCACTGAAGAATAGTTGAGTGTAATGTTCTGAAATTGGGTGGATTAACTATTGGTAATGATTCCCCCGTAGCGATGAACTGTTTCTGTAATTACTCCGTGTTTATTCGGCAGAGTACAGGCAGGATTGCCATTCCCCAGTCGTTCCTGCATAGATAGACATGTTTGACAAGCTGGAGGGGGGTGGATGGGACATAATCACGTGCATGTTTTTACCGTGTTGGATTCATCATGGTTAGAGGTGATGGGGGTCTTTCATCTTCATATGTCAGCGCACACATATTGATAACACCCGCGCGAAATCTCTCCCTCCGGAGCGCAAGCCTTCCTGTCTTGTTCAGTCAACTGAATAAATATGTTGGGCCCATGTCCTGGGCGTCCCAGCGTTGACAGGCGCGGTGCGTTTGGCTTGTATGTTTGGGGCTAGTGCAAACCGTGAAATATTTCCCCCGTCAGAAAACACGGTACTTGTACCTAGAGCGAACGTGGGGCTTTTAAGTGTATAGAGGCTTGCTGGGGGAAACATTGGCGTTCCACTGACTTTTGTACGTAGTACAGGCGACAGTGAAGCTTGAAGGTATCAGGATTTTACTTGCTATTTTTCTGTCAGTTAGTGTACACTTCAAATAAGAGTTGGACTTACTAGTATAACCCTGTTATTAATTCATAATTTTACATAAGATTATTCTAAAATCGTGTGAACTGATGACGATGCCTCTGTCGAATTTGAATGTATTCAGTGAGCACTCAAAAATTGCTCACAAACCTCATAGCCCAGTCATCAAATCCCACCCCACAATTCGGACGCAGGATGTCATACACTATACTACAATGTAGGCATGATCAAAGTCGCGGACTTCACTACAAATCAGACCATTCGCTTTTATTGGCCGATTTGCACGTCAGGTGCAACTGACGGTTCCAGTGGCCTTTTGTGCGCCCGGCTCTCTGGCCGTCATTATTACGTACATTGATCCCACGACCTTTTGGTGGCTGCGATAAAAGGCTACTTTCCCTCTACACTCAGGGATTATTGTCTGGTTCAAAAGCACAACAATTAATATTTGTAAGCACAGATGTCGATACTTACGTCATGCAAAAAATGGCAGTCTCATTCACAGGTTAAATCCGCCCTAGGTTGGTTGTTAGTAAAATAACGGGGTGATGTTTCTGCTACAGTCGGGGTATGAGTTATGATCCGATGATTTCTGTGTCTCCTCGGGCCAGTCAAGTTTCAAGTTTCAAGTTTATTTATTTCACCAGGGCATACCTCAGATCAGTTGATCTGATTTTCAGGTATCCCTGGGCACACATTAAAAATTACATACACAAGTTCAACGCAACAATATACAACAAATATTACAAACATTTACATATTATACAAAACAATCACAGTATACAATATAGGCACATTTCATCTGCGGTCATCTACAGTCCGTTTTTAAAAGCTGACGTTGCTATCAGTTGCCGCTGGTCAGCAGCAAGACAGTTCCACAGGACTGGCCCTTGGTACTGCAGGCTGCCCTTGAAAGATTCCACATGTGCTTTGGGAGTGTCCAGCATGTGAGGGTCGAAGCTGTAGAGCTGTTTCGTAGCAGTGCGAGTACGAACTCTCAGCACTGGGGGTGACAGCCATTTGAACATATGTGTCATGTAGGCAGGTGCCTTGTGG